GCCCAGCCCCTGGTTCATCTCTCTCCCTTCCCGCAGTACTGGAGGACACGGTGGAGGAGCGTGTCATCAGCGAGGAGTACAAGATCTGGAAGAAAAACACCCCCTTCCTGTATGACCTGGTGATGACACATGCTCTGGAGTGGCCCAGCCTCACCGTGCAGTGGTTGCCTGATGTGACCAGGTGAGAGAAGGGAAGAGAGGCCTGGAAGGTGCCAGGGAGGCACAGGGCTCAGCTGCTGATTTGCTTAGTTTGCAAAGCGGGAGCTGAGGGTGTGTGCAATTGCTTGTTCCACTGCTCTTTCTGTCCCTGTTAACCATGTCTGCTAAGTAACTTTAGGATAAAAACCACGCAAGACAAGAATAATTTGGGTTAGACTCCTCTTTGTGAGCTTGTAACGCTTTACTTTGCTTACAGCTTTAAAAATCCTTTGGGTATGCAGAAGCTTTGAGGAAAAAAAGTCACAAGCTGATACTTTACAGAACTCTAGCTTAGTCTAGCAGTACCTGTCGTGAGATGTGAGGAGAGAAATCTTTCTCAATTTATTGATATATGAGACCTAACACTCTTCTATAGTTAATTCTGATCAGAGAAATCTATGTACTAAATTAGCTTTTTCTTGAAGACTGTTTTTCTTCATGTGCACTACAGATTACTATTCTGTAGAAGCTACAGTATCTATCTCTGATTTTTTGTTTTGTTTTGTTTTAAGTCTGGACTTATTTAAGAGGATATTTTTCTAAGACTGGTGCTTCACGTCCTGGTTCTGTCCCTGGCTCACTGTTAACTTTGCATATTTTAATTTTCCCATTCTTCCACCTCCCCCTGAAAATTGTGGGCTCATTGGTTAATTTCTTAAAAAATGTTGAAGATGGGGATAGATTCTGTTCATGTGCCAGCTACTATAGAACTTAAATTGTCGCAGTAATCACTCAGGGCTCCATTGGACAAGGACCGGGTCCGTCACGTTGTTGTAAACTGTAAAACAGCTAGGTTTTAAGATATCTTATGTGTAAAGTTCACACAATAATCAGAGGATGGTCTCTTTCCTCTTTAAGATTCCACCTTACCTGTGTGCTGTTTTGCTTGGTGGTTAGATGATCACTTAATTTTCTATACCGGAATGTTTGGGGAAGATGTTGAGAGATGTGAGCTAACTAGTCATGGCATGGAGAAAATGAAGCGGGGATTTGAGGGTGTGGAGCCCTTATGAGGAACACTTCTGCTTGCCTCGTATTTTGCAGATTGACTTAATATTCAGTTTAAAACCTGGTATTTCCAATTATCCAGTGTCAAAATATGTAAGCCATTTAAGGCAAGGACTGTCTCTTTGTATGGCACCTGACATGATGGGACACCTGTTCCTGATGCAAGTAAGTGCGTGTGCATTGTGTGGTTTTTGTTTCGTTTCATATTTTTCTTTCCCCCTCAAAATGTATGATAATGCCTTGGAAGTGGTGTAGTAATACCTACGGTGGTTTATGATTGCCCAAATGATTCCTGTTTGCTTGGATTCAGAGAGCGTAATTAGTTTTGTTGCTTTCAGGAATGCAGAAGTTGCTTGGTTTTGACAGTTCAAGTTTTTCCTTTCAGAGATAAATGGCACTGTCCATCCAGCCTTTCACTTATTACTAAATGTTGCGTTTAACCACCAGAAGAGAAATTTGATTCTAGTTAGCTAGGATTTGTGCAGTGTTTAAAAACGAGCTTCTGAAATAAAATAATAACTGGTAAAAGCTGCTGAGAGAGGCAACTGAAATAGGTTGCCACTTGTCCTCAGTATTTGTGTTTTATAGAAAGTATTGTTGATTGTTTTCTAAACCAATACTGTGCGACTGCTAGGGGAATTAAAGACAGAAGTAGGTATTAGCGTCACCTTTAACTACTGTGCAAACTGTAGTTGTCCCTTTCAAGCCATAGTGGCAATGGTTACTGATGTGTATTGTCACGCTAGCCTTGCTGGTTGTATCTTTGGCTTGCTTATGTCAGAGGCTGGTTCACTTTATTGCACAAGTCTCTTGTGACAAAGGAAAGGGTCTCTTACACGAGTCTCTCTTCTAGCTCCCTGAAGAAGTTTGGATCTTGAGTGTTATTGATGCTAGCTATGCTATCTGTCCTGGTTTCGGCAACAAACCACAACACTATCAAACTTCTGGAACTGAGCACGTGATTTTATTCCACGCGTTTATTATTCTAAACAGGCCAGAAGGAAAGGATTATGCTCTCCACTGGCTGGTTTTGGGAACTCACACGTCCGATGAACAGAACCACCTGGTTGTTGCAAGAGTCCAGATTCCCAACGATGATCAGTTTGATACTTCGCAATATGACAGTGAGAAAGGAGGTGGGCATGCATGCATTCTTAGATTATGCTTTAGCAGTAGCATTACTAAGTGTTCTGTCTACTGATATTCTAACTTTCTGTTAAATACTAAAGCTGACGTATACTTACCAGTTCACACTAATTCTAGTTCATTAATTGTGACTAAAAAGAGGAAATTTCTTATTTCAGAAGCACTTAGGTAACATTATGACATACAATCCCTACTAGCATTTCTACCAGCTCTGTCAGTTGTGGTGAAAACTGATACACATCTACCTCAAATAGAGACTAAAGCTCTGAAGGAGTTTGTATCATAGAGGATTCAAAGTATCTAAAGTGTTAACGCTGTTGTGTCACCTGGTGCTAGTCCTTCGTAGGCTATACTGTATTATGATAAGATGCTTACCACTGTTTCTTGGGGTGGGGGAGATGGTAGGAAATGCTGTTTCACCCGTTGAAAATAGTTGATGTGATAAGCTGACCTTTTTCTGGCAAACGTAGAGTTTGGTGGCTTTGGATCTGTGACTGGCAAAATCGAAACGGAGATTAAAATTAACCATGAAGGTGAAGTAAACCGTGCTCGTTACATGCCGCAGAATCCCTGCATCATTGCTACAAAAACACCGTCTGCTGATGTGTTGGTATTTGACTACACCAAACATCCTTCAAAGCCAGGTGGGTCAGACTCCTTGAAGTTAAGCAAAATGTCTCTTGTCATTGAGGGGTACACTTGTATTTAACTGTAATTGGGAGGGGAGGTGATGGGCTCTGGAATCCGAATAAGACGACCCATATCTTCTGTGACTTTAGCTGCCTGGTTATGCTCAATATTGTAAGAGAATCTTGATAGAAGCAGCACTCTCCTAAGAGGCAGATGTATAAAATATGATTATTGCAACGGAAACAAAGTTGTTAGGCAATAATATGTTCTTACGGATTGATGTGCAAGGTGAAGCTAAATGGAAGGAATTTCCTCTCTTTCAGACCCAAGTGGAGAGTGTAATCCTGACCTTAGATTAAGAGGGCACCAGAAGGAAGGCTATGGCTTATCATGGAACTCAAATTTGAGTGGACATCTTCTCAGTGCATCAGATGATCATGTAAAAACCACATATTTTCCCCTATTTAAAAAAAAAAACCAAACAAACAAACCACCCCTCCTAATTTATGCTGTAATAGATAATTAGAGAAAAACTGGGTTAGTGTAGCTGTATATTGTTATGTGGGGAAGCTCTCACATATTGTAATTATATTTCTAAAGGCTGTCAGTTGACTTCAGGCTGTAATCAACAACGAGTTCTTTGTAACGTTCTTGATGAAGTAAGAACAGAATGTTTTTATAGTTGTCTGCTGGAAGAAATTGTTGTATAACAACCTTTTAAACTGGCTTGGGTCTGAGACCATAGATTAGTAAGCACTCTCAAAGATCAATTGAACTAATAGCTTATAAATTTCTTTGTGGGCTTTGAAAGTGTAAAGTGCTTTTGTGACCTTATAAATAATCCTTGGGCCTTGAATTTGCAGAAAACGGGTTGATAACTTAGCTCACTTCTCACTTACGGCTCACTTATTAAGTGTTCTTTTCCAAAAACGAAGAACCGTTTCAGGAGCGTCATCTCTCTGTTTATATGTAGAACGTGACTATTTACTTATTTATTTGAAAGATAATACAGTCAGAGTCAGCGTAACAATAGAATATGACTCTTCTTTACAGACTGTGTGTTTATGGGATATAAGTGCTGGACCAAAAGAAGGCAAAATTGTTGATGCGAAAGCAATCTTTACTGGGCACTCCGCAGTAGTAGAAGACGTGGCATGGCATCTGCTCCATGAATCGCTGTTTGGATCCGTGGCGGATGATCAGAAGCTTATGATGTAAGTTGGGGTTAAGCGGTTTCTGGATAGTGCCTGCTGTGTGCTGTCAGTGGACCAGTCCAGAGCACTTGGATAAAATATCTGAGTTCTGGAATGATCTCATGTAGCTCTTCAGTGCAATCAACTATAGTAATGCCGCAGAATCACCGAAATCTGCGTGTCATTTAATGTGTTCACATCATTTGAAAATAAGATGTAATTAGTATGTATGTCAGCTTCCTGGTGCGAACTGCTCACGTACAACAGACACAAAATACTGAAAGATTATGGAATAAAAACTGTAGCTTCAGACTCAGGTTTAGTAATAATGTAGTCTCTTAAACTAATGTGTAGTGTAGTGAAAAAGAACCTCCTGTGAAAACTTACGTTTGTTCACTCTCGCTTTCTCCTCCCTGCCCCTCACCCTCCCCCAAACCCTTCATTGCAACAGTTGGGACACAAGATCTAATACCACGTCCAAGCCAAGTCATTCTGTAGATGCTCATACAGCCGAGGTCAACTGTCTGTCCTTCAATCCTTACAGCGAGTTCATTCTAGCAACTGGTTCAGCTGACAAGGTTTTTACTTGTGTATACTTTAAATTCATAAGTATTCTAGATGATAGTTCTATAGCCATTGTAGTAAAAACAATTTTTTGTTACTTCTCCCAGACGGTGGCTCTATGGGATCTTCGAAACTTAAAATTGAAACTCCATTCTTTTGAGTCTCATAAAGATGAAATTTTTCAGGTGGGTAAACTTTTCTCACAAGCTGTAGAAAAAACTAGAAGAGTACTGACTTGGACAAGAACGTGCAGATTTTCATATGGTGACCAACCACAATAAATAAGTCTGTTAAACATGAAATAGTGAATTTTGGTTCAACAAATACAGCCAGTACCACGTTGTTTCTTTCTGCCTTTCCCCACTTGACTCTGAAGCAAGTAGTCAGCAACTTACTGCTAAACAGATACTGGGAGTTTGCAAGTACCTTCAGTACAGGTAGAAGGTTTCTCTAAAACATCCTGCCGTAGAGAGGACCTGGGTTCAAATCTGATATTGTGAACTCTGCCTATTTAATAGGTGCAAGTAACAGTGAATTTTAGACAATTACATTTCATGATGCGGTAAGTCTGTAACAGTGAAATAATGTTGGCTGTTCAATTTGAGAAATCTTAAGACTTTAAAGAACTCTCTTCGAGCTATAGGATATCCTTTGTGCTGGAAGAAACTGATCTATTGAGTATAGTTGTTGAACACTAATGGCCAGGTGCCAGCGATGGTTATTCAGGATACGCTTTGGAAATCAGTAACTGCTCCAGTCAAGTTGTTTTCTTTCAATAGGTTCACTGGTCTCCTCATAATGAAACAATTCTTGCTTCAAGCGGTACTGATCGTCGGCTTAATGTGTGGGATCTAAGGTGAAGAGCAATTCCTTTCTTTTAATATATGAACAGATGGTAAAAAAGAAAAAAAAAAAAAAAAAAAAGGCCACAGACCTACTTCATTTGGTAGACTCGATTTGTGCTGTTCTCCAGCCTTCCTTGCTTGCTGAACTTGGACCTGGTCCTTCGGGTACACAGTAGAAGCAGCACAGTACTTCTAATGTTACTTCTCTGTGAGGATTTCTTGCTGATAGAATTGTTTTCTGTTGTCTTTAGTAATAAGTGATTTCTGCCTCCATGTGCTTCACAAGTTAGATTCTGTTTCAGTAATGATAACGCCAAACGGTTGATGTTTTATACCTGAGGCTTATAGTCACTTGACAGTGAGAAAAACCGATAGCAAAAGCAAATACTGGAAACAAAGGCTAGGAACTGTGAAGTTAAGGTGATACAGGGTGCAATTTTCACGATTAATAAAAAGTATAAACTACTCTCTTACAGTAAAATTGGAGAAGAGCAGTCTGCGGAGGATGCAGAAGATGGGCCTCCTGAGCTGCTGGTACGCTTTTGTTCAGGTTTCAGTCTGCTGACATGCTGTATGGCAGTATGACGCCTAATGACTGCGCTACTAAAATGGCAGCAGTTCATAAGTCTTTTCACCGCCCCGGTTTCCAATCCATTGCAGTAGGCTTCCTCTGCTCAATTCTGAAGGTAGTGATTTTTTTCAAAGCTGCCCTGGACATGATTTACACATCTTTATTTTACAGTTCGGCCATGTGCTTGTTGGTATTCTTCTGTAACTAAACGCGTGTAAAGCTAAGGCCTCAAATAGTTCATCTCGCATTAGACCAAGTAGGTCCCGTATAGCTAACTTTACTGATGGGGAAAGTACAAAGGCTTATGTTTTGGTTTGCTTCCTTAGGAAACAAACAGACAAAAATGCTTATAGTTTGGTTTCCCCATTTCCTGTGTAACTGTGTAAGTGCTCATATAATCAAACGAGGTCATGGATATAAAATACGGCTGGGTTTCCCAGCCCAACCCTGTGTGGAGTAGCACCATGCTGAGGATGTCAGTCAGTCGTTGCTGTAATAGTCCGAACTGTCGGCTTGAATGCTGTCTCTGCGGTTGCATCTGTGTCCGTAAGCAATGGGTGGAATGCGCTGTTTCGCACACGCCTTCTTTACGTCTGTATTGTGAATCTCCAGTAGCAAGTTTTTTCTTCTTTGTGTAGTCATCAGCGTGGTGAATTTAACTTCTGAATCTTGGGTTTTAACAGATTTCTCTCTAGAGATGAAATGGCTTACTGAAGCTTGTGGGTTTTTTAACAGTTTATTCATGGAGGACACACTGCCAAAATTTCAGACTTCAGTTGGAATCCTAATGAGCCGTGGGTAATCTGTTCTGTATCGGAGGACAACATAATGCAGATATGGCAAATGGTGAGTGTCACAACGGCTCTTGAGTTGCTCTGAAGCTTGTTGCATAAACGAAACCGAAATGGCTTGTTCTTCTTCAGTGACTGAAAGTGGTCTGTCCCCTGCGCTTCTTAACGCTCTTTGCTTGGAGAGTAAGACTTCCAAAAGAAAACAAAGACTAAAACAACCTGAATAAATGCAACTGCTAGTTAATTCTTGACTCAAGTCTTAGGTACTAGTTAATATTAAGAATAAATGTGGCAGTTGCGACCTTACATCCAATAGTAGCCAAGACTGACTTTTCCCCCTGCCCTCCCCCCCCCCCCCCCCCCCCCCCTGACACGACACCCCTTCGACTGTGAAGCAAGATGCCTTTTACCTCTCCAGTTAGTTCGTGTTATTTTACATTACAGGAATTTGATCAGTTGTCTTATAAATGTGGAATAAAGTCACTTGGCAATAATTCAAGTTAAAAAAGTGTAACAGACTTAAATGTGCATCACAGGTCAGGCTCTCGGGTTTTTATACCCGTTCTTTAACTTGTTTGTGTGTTCAGACTGAGGTTGAAATCAGTCCAAATAAAATGTACGTGGTCAGGCTGATGGTTAGGTGGCTAATGCTTATGCTGCTGAAATAAAACAACGCGGGAAGAGACCTGCTGACGTCTAGCCACTGCGTGCACGTTCCTAAATTTGGCTGCCCTTTAAGAAAAGGCAGGGAGAAGGTCCCTTTAAGGAGGGGGCGATGTCTGTGCCGCCTTGGTATTGTCATGTTTTTTCTATATCAAGCGTCGAAGACTTTAAGAACAGCTGTGTCTACCACTTGTAACGTAATACTTTGTGTCTTTAGGCAGAAAACATTTACAATGATGAAGAACCCGATATAGCAGCAGCCGAACTGGAGGGTCAAGGAACATAACTGTCCTTCCTTAAGGAAATACCGGGTGTGATGTAGTAATATAATTGGACTACTGTGTATGTTAAAAGAAAAAAAAAAAAAGCCCCTAAAAGAAACAAAACCCCAAAAAACAAGGACTGGGCAGAAGCATTGCATCAAAACGAGAATATTCTTAATCGGGCACGAAAAGCTTGTGTAGTCAAGTTGTCATGGGCTACCCTTGGTTATTTGGGCACTGTGAGCCATTGTATACTGTACAGCCATTAGCTTTTAGGGAAAAGAAGAATGACTTAATACCTATGTCTATATTTTTAAACAAACTTAGTGGGTTCCTGTAAATAAAACAGTCAAATCCTCACTCTTCCCACACAGAAAGTGCGCCAAAAAAAAAAAAAAGTTTTTATTAATATGTAAAAAGAGCTTTTCACTTTCACACGACACTTTTGGATTGGCTTTGCATAAATAAAATTTATTAAATAAAACGTTTGCTGTGTTTAGTGTCCGTTGACATAAGGTGAATGCCTTCTTGCCTGAATATTATTTAATTTCTGCATGGTAATAAAGATACGTACTTCTTAGTTTATAACTTGCCCCGCGGTTAAAGGTCTGGGGAGATGAGAGTTGTCTTGATGCGAAAAACTTGGAATGGATGCCTCGGATCCTTGACAAGGAGCATGGGTGTAGAAGGAGGTTTGGGGAGTACGTGGGGGTGACCAGTCAGAGTCCTGTAAAGTTCAGGTACAAATCCTGAGCAGAGTCCAGTAACGGTTGAGTTGGGTTTTGGGTTTGGGAGGGTTTTTTGGGTTTTGGTTTGTTTGGTTTGTTTTTTTTTTTTTTGGAGTGGCGGTGGAAACGCTGTCCTTCAACGTTTTCTTGTCTTGGGTGCCAGGATGGCAATGCCATCTCGGTGAACTGGTATCGCCTGCCTTTAGCTAGAGCCCTCCGGTAGCTTTTTTGGATTAAAATGCTGTGAGGCAATCGGGCAGGTGTCTAAAATACATTAACAGCTGAACAAATAGAAGACAAAACCACAGTTTGCTTCTAAACTTCTGGCTGACTGGGAAGCTGGAGAATTGGGACCATGTAGAAGTAAAGTATCTCCTTATTTATCGTGGTTCTTCAGCCAAGTTATGGATCACTGTGGGAGCTGCCGGTCAGACAAATCTAAGTTGATGTCTAACTTGAGTTTAAATTAAAGGTTTTTGTTACTTAAGACAGGCCTCAATTAAATGAATTGCGGGCTGTCCTGATCTTTCTGCTCAAACTGAAAAAAATAGACCACTTTGGTGACTGATACTGAAAATGTGATTTTTTTTTTTTTTTTTTTTTTAATGTTGAAAATGTCACTTCCCGTGATGCATATCTTGCTCTTGTCTTTACTTGAATTCTGACAAGTTAGTAGGCTGCTGGGCTCAAGCTGCGTGTCTTAACATACCTGTACTGGGCCTGGCTGGGATGGACTTCACTTCAAGAAGCGGGTACGGTGCTGGGTTTCGGGTTTATGGCTAGAAGGGTGTTGATAATGCACCCGTGTTTTGGCTATTGCTGGGCAGTGCTTGCACGCCATGTCGGCTGGGGGCGGGCACGAGGTGGGGAGGGGGTGCAGCCAGGGCAGCTGACCCGAATTGGCCAAAGGGGAATATCCCTTACCGTATGTCACGCTCAGCAATGAAAAAAGAGGTAGAGGAAGAAGAAGGGGGCCTTTCATGGTGGCCGTTGCTTGGAGGCTGGCGGGGGATCTGCCTGCAGCTGGGAGGTGGCAAGTGATTTCACTTTTTCTGGGGGGGTGTCTTTCCCCCCCCTTCTCTCACCCACCTATTCCACTGTCTTTCATCTCTACCCCTGAGATTTTCTTCCTACTCTCTCCCCTGTCTTGCTGTGGGGAGGTGTGAGCGAGCAGCTGTGTCGAGTGTTCAGCTGCTGGCCAGGCTCAGCCCACCACTCCACCATTCACGAATGGAAAGCTGCTATTTGAGGTACATACTTCCGTTTTTTAGGGGTGAGAGTGGAATGAATAAGAGTTTTGATTTAGCTCCTTCCGTGTTCTGTGCGGGAATTTGGTAGGCTGGACACTCCCTGGGTCTAGCAGACCTGCGTAATGTTACATCCCATTCTTAAAAGCGCTGGTACTTGGGAGCGGGGTGGGAACAAAGGAAAGATGGTTTAGACGAGGGAGCTGGTTCACCTTCACGAGACCAGTACCATGTACTAGTACCGTACTATCGATCAACGTTCAGCCAAAGGCAGCCCTTTCCAGGACACGGGTGGCAGTTGTTAGCTGGAACTTGACTCTGGTTCAGCGTTTTGTTCCTCAGGAAGGTGCTCACCTGTATGTCACTGAGAGGACCGGCTTCCCTCCAGCATGCCCCCTCTGGTCGACGTCTACAGCAGACTATCCCTGCGCTGGCGCTGTGAGGGAATGGCGACGAAGCTGTGGAGCGAAGGCATTGCTAACAACTTTCCTGTTTACTGTTTGGCTAAGGGTCATTCAGCTAAAAGAGTCAACATCTGTTGACCGAGTCCTGGTACGTGTAAGCAGGGCAGCAGTTTTCTCTTCCTTGCCTCACAGGAAGGGCTCCACAGTGATATCTAAGGGGAACTCTAGATGCTCTGGATGCTAATTTAATTTGCAAGTGGCAGCAAATGATAAGCATTAAACATACTGAACTTGGGGACAGTTTTTGGCCAGGTCATACTTCCTTTTGACATTCATTTTGAGATACACAACTCTTGAATAGGAAATGAAGAGGTCAATGGCCTGACTGATTGCTACTGCAAAAGCGCTTCCCAGAGGGCACGGTGGTGGCTCTTCCTGGCACAGGTGGGGCTGTGGCCTGTTACATGACCCCTCCAGCGGCTGGCGCTCTTCAGCGCTTACTTCAAGGAGAGCTACTGGCTGCTTTGCACCAGCATGTCCAGCGTAGTTAGTTCATTCCTGTAATTAGTGATTTCAGCTTTCTGCGTCCATTGTGGTTGGGTTGTTAATGCTTAAGTCTTCTTACTGCCTCACTAACTAGACAGAGCGGGAAGGAGGGGCGAACTACTAATTGCAGCGCTGTTCTTGTTGCTCTTCTTACGTTGCTTGTTTTTAATCCCCTGCCTGCTGTTAGCAGGACACCCCCCCCGCGCTGTAGGCACTGGGTCATCATGCATAGACATGTCTCCTTCCACACCTTTTTCCAGAACGGTTCCTCTAAAAGCGATGCAGTAGCTGAATATTGCTGCGGAAGGCCGAGATGCTGTCAGCGTTTAGCAGGCAGGCAGCAGCAGCTGGAGAGGATGTGCGGAACAGCACGAAAGGTCAAAGCTGCTGAAGGACAGCTAGGCCGCTGCCCAATTAACCATGCTTCGGTCTAGCTGGTGCTCGTACGTGTAAAAACACTAAAATGCCACATCTGGGAAGTGGAGATGAATGCGTTCTCTAAGTGTGGTTTTGGTTTGACTGACAGATACGG